TTAGCAGAGTACAACTCTACGAGTTCAGTGTACAGTGTGAAATGACAATGTTTTCAAGTGGCTCCCCTGATACGGGGCAGCACATCGCTAGAGCAGTGGAAGCATTAAATCATCACAGTGAATTCAGTGATATTAATTCAACACCAATGAATGGTCAAGGTACAAGTGGCCCCGTGGGGCAAAACAGTGATATAATTAACTTACAAATACAACAAAATTCGCAGCAAAAATTAGAGCAACATCAATATTTAATGAATCAGGATTCACAATTGATGCAGATCAATCAACAACAACTACTTATGAGAGATCAAACAGACTTCTATACAGCACATCACCAGGGCCAGCCCTGGGAACTTCATGGAACACAACCACATCAATGGACTCAACAACTACAAGGTCCGAGGTCGTCTGAAACAACCTCAAATAAAACCGTGAGTACCCTAGAGGGGCAACAACCTCGAAAAAGAAAAAAACACGCCTACAGTGACCAGCACATATCAACTCCCTCGAATGTTAGTGCGCCAGTGTTTACGCACAAAAATCAATATGCAGTATTAGAAGACAAATCAGAAGTTGAAACTCCTAAAAAGCCCCCATAGATCATAACATACCGCCAATATTCGTGCAAAGCTGTTTATAATGTATCAAAATTAATTAGGATTTCTCTAAAACTTACAAGTAAAAGAACCAGGATTTTTACGTACAAAAATGCTTAACAGCGAGGCGATGTAAAAAGTTGCTACCCGAAACCATTTGAGCTTTTACAGAGCCAAATAATTAAACAACCTTGACGAATCGAGGCCAAATACCACAACTTATCAACAAGAACAGATAGAGCATTTCGGTTCGTAGTGCTTCGATACCACATCCGTCAGCAAACATATAGAAGAAGTAAAAGCTGAACTCAAATCCAAGGGTCACACCGTCGTAAACATGCACATGTACTTCTGCGGAGTAAGCAAAAGCCGCTTCATCGCTCTTTTTTTATAGACTATAAGAACCAAGTGCAAAACAATGCAGGAAATCTTACAATCATCGACACACGTGTAATGCAGAAATAGAATTTGAGGCACCGTTACAAAAAGAAAATTCCAGTTGCAAATGCCATCGCTGTTCAAGTTATGGTCACACGAAGAAATACTGTAAAGCAACTCCTTGGTGCGTGAAAAATACGTGAAGAACATTTCACAGACGACATGCAAAAAAATATGCAACGCAGCCGGCACATGCGCCGCTAATGTTTCGCGAAGCCATCCAGCCAACATAAAGGCTAGCCAAGTGTGTATCGAATTATTACTCGTTAATAAATTTAACCAGCACAGGAAACAGAAACAGGACACCATCGACAAGAAAACCAAAAAGTGGTCAACCGCCTCAGATTTCCCCTCCCCTCCAGTCGCCACTTTCAACCCAATCCTTCTCATCGTTACCAGCATCTTCTCCAGAAACTCACATTACGCTGTACCTTACAAATCCCAAAAACCAAACAATCTCTCCAAAAAATATAGAAACCTCATTTTTTCCAAAAGTTCGAAAGCATCCTAAAAACAACATTCTGGAACAAATTGGTGGCTTTGCGTCTACTACTGAACGTCATTAATATCCAAGATGCAATTAAATGGCACCAAGAATTTAAAATTATTTCTCTTGAACGCAAACGCGTTTATCAACATCGAAGAGAGCTCGTAAACTAATTCTCAAAGAAAAATAGTATAGATATTATGTAATATCGAAACTTTCCACTTCACTGAAAAATCTCTACTTAAAGTACGGGATATGATATATTATAATACAAGCACGCCGGACGTACAGCGCATGGAGAACCTATAATATTTCGGAAAACACAATCAAACATTAGAAATTGAACGGAATAGATAAAACTTACTGACAGAAATACAAGCAACATCTGTAAATGGTGACAGAAAGTCAAGCTTTACTGACGATAACACTGCCCGCCCAAAACATAGAATAACAGAACAAAAAATTTGAAGACTTTAAAATACACTAGATCAAGATTTTCTAGCTGGGAGGCGACTTCAATGCAAAAAACCAGCATTGGGGCCTCACGATCTCAACCACACTACGAGGAAAAAAAATCTTTCTTAAAGTAACAAACAGACTTACATGTTTCTTACTATATGCGACTGAGTGACCTACGGTAACTGGCCACTGCACGCAATAAGCTTCTGACCTCCTGGACTTCTACTTAGCAAAAGGTGTGAATCTGGCTACAGTAGTAATTAAAATCTTTCCTATGGACCTTTCTTCAGACCACCCCAGTAGCAATGACCATCAGTTCAAAATATATCTTGAAAGGAAAACTACCTTCTAAACTAAAACAAGTACATTGGGCAAAACTGGAACAAGTACTGCGATACTGTGAACTATAAACTATCTGCAACGCACTTGCTAAAACTGGAAGAAAACATCGAAGACGCATTACAGTACCTATCTGACACATTACAAGACGCTGGCCTGGCCGCACACAAGAGAAACCAATAAATTAAATCGTCAACGTATCCCGCAGAAATAAGACAAAAAGTGGAGAAAAAACCGTCGACTCCGACGAATATTCATGACGAAACATACGAAAACAAATCATTCTCTAATTACATTCAAAGCAACTATCACCTACTGGCTGAACTTAATTATTCGCTTTGGAAAGCAACTCTAGAAAACTAAAGCGACCCAACAGCCACATCAGACCAATTCGAAAAAGAAGATGGCCACGTGGGCAAAAGAAGCGCAGAAGAAAGATCGAATGCCTTGATTCAAAAACACTTTGCTTAAGTTTTCAAACCAGCAGAAAATGTAAGTCTACTATTGAAAAAATAAAGTGCTAGAATATCTTGGACGTGCCTTTGTACAGTTAGCTCTGCCCAAAGAGCATTTTTCAACTCCACCGAGAGTCGAAACAAACAATTCAAAAAAACACACTTCATCCTCCAAGAGTCCAGGTTTGACCTTCATTACCGGCCAAGGATGTCTGCAGGAAATGCCAAGTAAAGGATATGAAATCGTAACAAGCATATTCAACGCTGATTACTTCGAAATAGCCATTATCCTGTCAATTGGAAATACGCTCAAATAATTCGCGATTCGTGAAAAACCAGGAAAGGGGACTGCACGGAAGTTACATGCGTACCGACCCTATTAGGGCCTGCTACTAGTTCCTATTCAAAAGTATTTGAAAAACTGTTCTCTTTACAGCGCCTCAACGCTATAATTTAAGAAGGGATTCCTGACTTTTCAATTCGGCTTTCGAGAGGGGACACTTCAAACAATAGAACAGACCATCGATTGTAAACAACCAATTTCTCCAAAATCCTGGAAAAAAATTTCTATATTGTTCGTGCAGCATTCCTAGACATACAACAAAGATTCGACAAGGTCTGGTATGAAGGAATCTATTTAAAATTAAAAAAAACTTCTTCCCGCACTCCTTACTATTCTTCCTCCTCGCAAACTCCTTCTACCTTCTCACCATCATACTTTGCGATCGCCTATTTCAATGTTGAAAATCAGGACGCTCTATCGGAATTCCAACTATTTCTGGCAGGAGTGCCACAAGGAAGTAATTCTTGGACCTTTTTTATACTTATATCAACTTCAGACTTTACCCAATCACAGAAGAACTACAATAGCTACCTTTGCAGACGACACAGCTATTTCTTTCTGCAAATGAAGACCCCTCCTGGCGCATCACACATCTAAACAAAATCCGAAGTTGGAGTTCATCGGTTTTGGCAGTCAACAGTGAAAATGTTATATGTTTTGATTTTGTTTCATTTACTAAGAAAAGAAAACTGTCCCAAAAGTAAAAAACAAAAACAACACAGAACTCCACGAAGCGATACAATCAATTATCATGGACTGCATTTTGGATAGACGGCCTGACTTTGGAAAAACCCACGTCAAAAACTAGAGAAAAAAGAAGCGGATCTTAAATCCTCAAATTGTCATGGCTAATAAACAGACAATCAAAAGCTGTCCTTGCATAACCAAATACAGATTTATTTAAAACTATAATCAAAACCAACATGGAACCTATGTATTGAATTGTGGGGCTCTTCCAGTAAATCGGAATCTAGAAATTCTTTAAAAAGATTCGAAGCTAAAACACTAAGAAAAACTATGCAACGCCACCATGGTACGTACATAAAAGGACGATATACAGAGACCTTCGACATTGTCCCGCTGAGGAAGTAATCGCCACGAAGAGCCTAGCTATACCAGAGAAGATTGTACAACCACCCAAATCACCTCTCAACAAGCCTTCTAGATAACAGTGAGCATGTGCATAGACTGAGGAGAGAGAGTATTTTAGATCTGCCATCCGATTTTGTAAATGAAATTTTTCAATGTCATAAAACGTTCACGTCGGAAATGTTATCTGTTGACACCATTTGCTTATTGTTCCGATAGGAACAGATTGTAAATTATGCAGAATTATGCAAGAATTATGCAAGAAAAAAAATTATTGATCTTGCTCCAAAAATTCCAATATATTGTTAGAAAATGATATATCTCCAAAAAACATTCGTTCAATGGAAAAATATCTGTTTAATATAATCATTGAAATGAGTGTAAACATAACTAGTGTTTTTTTTGTTTGGGTTAATAAATTGTTCCATTTATGTTGTACTCTTTCCTTAAATTTTTCGCCGTCCTTATAATTGTAAAAAACATGGTCACCTTAAATATAAATAATACAGTTAGAGCGGCGATAGATGGGAGCTGCCAAGAGGATGGAGCAAGATTGTAAAGTTAGACTAGATAAAATAAATTAAAACTTAACTAGTACGGGAAAGTCTGTGCCATTCTGTTCCACAACTACCAGTTGCTTTCTACTGATTTGCCTTCGTAATATTTGACTGCATATTTAATTACAGTTATGACTTCGTTATCCATGAATTTTTAGAGAATATATGGTCATTCAAATTATGATTTTTTTTGTATTTTACAAGCTCAACAAGGGAACTTAGTAAAGACGGTCTAGCACTTCTCAGGTGCTTATATAGATTGGTACACACTGATATGTGGTGGAGGGGAAATCGGCAGAGAAAGTCGTGTTCGCTGTTTTGGCTTGACTGCACCTCATGGACGAAACCACACTCTCTCTATACTCTCTGGACGAAGCTAAGTGAAAACATTTCAGCCAAACATGGCGTATTTCATTCTACGTGTGTGCTTCAACTTGAAACGAGTACAATACGTAAGATTTTTTGAACACAACAGAAACGCTCACTCAGAAAAGGTTGATTGTGTCAGCAGGTGTAACGTACCGAGTGGAAATTGAAGATGTCGTATTTACACTGAAGCATTGGATTTGTGTTTGTTGTTTCAGAACGGCTTGGTTCGTGGAGTATATGATGATGAACCTGGTAAAGTAGTTTTCTCCAAAGTCACCGAACGTTTTAATGAAGCAACTAACGGAAAATTGTGCCAAGAGCTCGCAGTGTAAGTTGTTAACTTGAACTTTACAAAAGTCCCTTTTCCTTTGGATAGGAGTGATTGTGAAGAAGTCGACTGAGGAGGTTAAACGTGAACAAGTTTTGTCATACCGATTGTAAGACTCTCTTCGTTCTTTTCACAGTATTTGAATATGTAGAAATGCATCATAAACTAATGATGTATTAAATTATTTTATTAATTTAAGTTTGTTTGGAATTATGAGAGCTGGGAACAGTTCTCAAACCAAAATTGTTATGCAAATAGGAAAAGGTTAAAATTTCCTTGCATTTCAAATTGAGAGCATGTTTATGTTGGAGTTCATGCCAGGAATAGGCAGAATATAGTTTTGTCGTAACTAAATTCTAATTAAGGTCTTCAAAATCACTATTTCAATAGGTTGTAACAATGTGTGTTGTTTTACTTGGAATTTTATTAATGATGTAATTTGACCTGAAACAATATTGCACTGATGCATGAGCATTATTTGTTCATTGATTTTTTTAAAGCATGTTTTTGTGCAAGTTTTCTTCTGTAAATTTTCAATATTTATATTTATTGCTTTCTTAGTGCCATTGTTTTATTTCAGACCATGCTCCACCTCTTACTAAAGCAGCTTAGCTGCTAGTGTTCGATCATCTATTCAACAAAAATGGCCTCTGGACGGAGCAGTGGAAGTGCATCGTCATCAACTACTACACCTCAACGCTCTCGGCCATCAAAACGACAGCATTCAACTATTTTGAATGGAGGTGTAGAAGGGTCTTTTGAGGATAAAAATGATGATTTTCTGTGTCCAATTTGTTATGAATTAATCGAAGAGGCTCATATAACTCGTTGTGGACATACTTTTTGTTTCCAATGTATTTGTAAGGCATTGGAGGCAAATGGTCGTTGTCCAAAGTGTAGCTCTGCATTGAGTCGTCGTGAGCATATCTTTCCTAATTTTCTACTGAATCAACTTATATCAAAACATAAAGCTCGTGTGGTTGGAGCACAAGAATTAGGTTTGACAAGAGAGAATTCGGGTGACAGTATACATGGTCCTGCAGATGGCCTGCGAGATTTTGTGGCATCTGAATCTCAAAACCTCTCCCTTCCAGATGTTAATGTGATGTTGGAGGTTCTTACACAAAGGAAACATTTATTAGAAGCAGAGTCGTGTGCTGTACAGAACAAACTTTTGCATGAATTCTTAAAACATTTGTTGCAACAAAAAGAAGAACATTTAGAGCACCTTACTCGAGAAGTTACTTTAATAAAGAGAGACATTGATGAAGTAGAGGGTATCCTAAAAGATGTGCAAACAAAATGTCCCAAGTTGGATGCAGAAATTACTGTCAAGAAGAAAGAAAGTTCACAGGCTGAAAGCATGGAGACTGAAATATCTGAAAAAAAGGATGAAATGAGTGTATCTGGAGAAGTAAGTGGCAGTGATATCAACAGTAGTCAAAAACCAATTGACAATTCTGCAACTGCTTTAGCTACACGCCGAAAGCGGATGCATGCCCATTTTGATGATTTTGTTGAGTGTTACTTTTCATCTCGTGCTAAAGAGCTTATGTTTGGAGGTCAAAGTGATAAAACAGCTGCTGCATCAAGTTCATTACCTGATTCTTCTGGGTTAGATGTTTTTAGAGAGAATTTAGTGAAATTTTCTCGATACAGTACTCTAAGGCCTTTAGCTACTCTTAATTATTCCAGCGATATGTTCAATAATTCTACTATTGTTTCAAGTATTGAATTTGACAAAGATAATGAATTTTTTGCAATTGCTGGTGTTACCAAAAGGATCAAAGTATTTGATTACAGATCTGTTATTAGAGACACTATTGATATATATTATCCATGCATAGAAATGGTGTCAAGTTCTAAAATCTCGTGTGTTAGTTGGAATTCCTACCACAAAGGGATACTAGCTAGCAGTGATTATGAAGGAACAGTTGCTGTTTGGGATGCGGTCACTGGCCAGTGTACTAAGACCTTTCAAGAGCATGAGAAAAGATGTTGGAGTGTAGATTTTAATGATGTTGACACACGACTTATTGCTTCTGGTTCTGATGATGCAAGAGTTAAATTGTGGTCCCTTAATTTCAACCATTCAGTAGCATCTTTAGAAGCAAAAGCAAATGTATGTTGTGTAAAATTTAATCCTAGAAGTTCTTGTCATTTGGCTTTTGGTTCTGCTGATCATTGTGTACATTATTATGATTTGCGCAATATGAAAGAACCTTTGTCAGTGTTTAAAGGTCATAGAAAAGCAGTGTCATATGTTAAGTTCCTGAACAAAGAGGAGATTGTTTCTGCTTCAACTGATAGCCAATTGAAGATGTGGAATATAAATAATCCTCATTGTCTTCGTTCTTTTGTTGGTCACATTAATGAAAAGAACTTTGTAGGACTGGCTACAAATGGTGATTATGTGGCTTGTGGTTCTGAGAACAATTCTTTGTATGTTTATTATAAGGGACTTACTAAAAGGCTCTTCAGTTTTAAATTTGATGCAGTGAGAAGTGTATTGGAGAATGAAAGAAAAGAAGACGATGTAAATGAATTTGTTTCTGCAGTATGCTGGCGGCAACATTCCAATGTAGTAGTTGCAGCCAACAGTCAAGGTATAATACAAGTGCTAGAGCTTGTATAACAAGGAATTAATAGGTCAAATGTAATTTTGTAATATTTTCGGAAAATGTGTTAGATTTATAGGGTATGGAGAGGCATCTAAGTCAAACCCTAAGTACACTCAATGTTTCCTATTTTATATTATTCAGAGTAAGTTGCCTATTTATAGCACATTTAGTTAATTGTTAATTAATTTTATTGTTTGAATAAGATGTGAATACAATCAAGCGTGTAAGTTTGTGTATGTATTAACTGTAACACACCAGATGCCTTTTTAAAATTTTGCATTGAAATGTATTTTCTGAATAATAATACATAACATTAATAACATTGTGATTTATAATTCTTCCAGAAGTATAAGTGAATAAATTGGTATGATACTTGGTTTTAGAGAATATATAATCAGATATTACGTGGTCAAAAGTTATGTAAAGTAAACTGAAGCCATTGGTTTCATGATGTAATACATGTTTACTGGTCTTTTGGCCAGATTGACTGCAGGGACAATTAGTATGTATCATATTTTTAAAGTTCTTTGTGTTTTGACACAAGTTGTATACATTTATTGCTTTGTTTATATTAAAGTTGAACATTTATTTTCAAATCAATTTTGTTATTTATTTGTGGTTATTTCCTACTTCTCCTGAATGTGTCATTATTTTATAATTTTTAGTTCGCAATATTTGAAACAATGTGACTAATTGCTGAGAGTGTGTAATAGTGTAATTTTGTCAGTGAATTGCCAGCTGTTGGTAAACATTTCTAATTTTTATTGATCTTGCTTTATTTAGGGTGTAAATTGCAATTCATACATATTGCAAAGTTGGAGAAAGTTAACTTCATGATTAAAAATAGATTTTCATTCATTTTATTGCTTTTGGGGAAATCTTGAACCATGTTTTCAAATAATAGTGAAGGTTATTTTTTTCTGAACAGCATACTGGTGATATTTTCCATGCAGATTTCTTTGTAATGTTTTTACATCATATTGAAAGTTGACCTTTTATTAATGTGTGCAAAATAGTTTTAGCTAATGTGACAAGAAGTGATAGAATAATTATTGCAGCTAGTGGAATATAGGGCCTCATACTGAAACTGCACTTAAAAAGTGATTTGGTTTTCTTAAAGCACCAAAGTACATTGTACAAATTCTAGAGTGATATTTACATTTTCTAGAAAGATTTTTCTGATGGTGAGTGGTGTATGTAGAAAAATAAAATAATTTATGTTGATATACTCCATATTACAGTTTTAGCTAAAGTTAAATGTATAAATAAACTGTGTATAAGAATATATCATATTTATAGAGTGATTCAAAAGCAGATTATATACAATACAAAAGAGATAATTGTGATGTAAATAACTGATCAAACTGTTATCACTTTGTGATGATTATTTTCTTGCATGTGTAGATATTGATGAGAAGAGGATGTAAATAAATGTGATGTTTATTAAATTATTAACTGTTGCACTTCCAATGTAATTATCATTCTAATTCACAATTTTAATTTTGTTTTATTCAGTTCTTAAACCATACAAATGTGATACTTCTATTTATGTACAAATATTGTTTTATTATTTTTCTGTGTTGTTCCAATGAAAATGTTTTGTAATCAATATTGATTATATACCTTTTATTTCTGGAGTTAGGTGTAATTCAAAAAATACTCTTATATTCAGAACTGGTTGATATACCAGCTAACTAATTACTAATGCGCACACATACAACAGCTATAATGTAATTACAATTTCTACCATTCAAATGATGTAAATGTTATGAAATGTTAGAATCCTTTCTCTTCTACCCTCTTTTGATGGTATTAGAGTAATGATGGCAAACTTCTTAAATTTGTCCTTAACAGAATTTACCAAATATGTCTCTGTAGTTCATTTTCACATAAAAAGACATGAAAAAAGCAACAAAAATTGTCAACAAATTAATGTTTATACAACAACTGACTTAATTGAAGTCTTCAATTATTATTATTTATTTATTTTTATTCGAAACAAAAAATGTATTTACTTCCAATCAGGATTAACCGCTATAAATTATTTCTTCTGCGTGAAGAAATTAATACTGGGGCAGAACTTTTGTTTGAAATAAGGAGGCACATGTATACACTGGTGCAAGCCTCTTGTTTTTTTCGATACACTGCTGTTAATATCCTTCACAATTAGCTAACTTCAAAGCAAGCAGATTGGCCTTTAATTTGTGGAAATTATTGCAACTTTTGTAAAGTTTTCTTATCAAGTATTACAAATGTTTTCTTTTGTCAAACAAAATTGTCTAACAATTTAATGGATGTATAATGTTGATGGATTATTTTGCATATTATGCCGTAATCATGATTTCTCACTGTATTATACACTAGTGAAAATCTCTATGATTTTGTAATGTTTTAGTTTTATACTCAATGTTGTTGCATTATTCAATTTATATTAATTTCTCCCAGGGCATGGTGTCAAATTAATGTTGAACAAAAATCATGTTTCTGACAAGTAAAGTTTATGTAACACCAATAATGTTGTTCATTGCTCTATCTTAATATTTTACAAAATCTATTTGAACTATTCAATATCCCTTTTATTTATAAATCAAATTAATTGCCAGATTGAAATTTAAAACAAATGATTTTATTTTATTTACAACCAATAATTTAATAGTCTTCTTATTCAGTGTATATAAAATTATCAGTTGTTAATAAAAGATTATTATTCTTGGAAATGTTAATATTCAATAAAATAAAAAGAGTGAATTCCTCCTCTGTTTAGCAAATGCAATTAAGCTTTAAAAAAATGTCGATGAGAATGAAACAGCGGTTGATTATTAAATGAGCATAATAGTAATGATATTTATTACAATCTGTTAAATAGCAATGCAAAGTATACTCCATTATTTGTTGGCAATTAAAATTTGAAGATTTAAAGATGATCATTTATGTAAGATCGTCATGTTAGTGTTCAAATGATTTTTATCCAATTCAGTTACGTAGTCAAACTTTACGAAACTGAGATCAGTGTATCATTTAATGATACATGTGGGGGTCCTTGGCCAACTATTTACAACAAAAATTGGTTTTTATAATGTAAGTAATATTAGAACTAATCCACGGCCTCCTATTTATTACAATGACCATCAGTATGACACTTTTGCCGGATAAATAGTCACATTTAAACGGAAATTAGAGTTCATTGGAATTTTTACAAAGCGGATAAAATATACGATATTCATATCATTACAGAATATTACAATACTTAATCTGTTGTCAAACTTGGCCTAACAACCTTGGTTGATAATTCTCAGATCTTGAAATGTAATAAGATGTATTATGATACTTATGTCGTAAATAACTATTATCAATTACTGATAGTTCTTAAAATACATATTGTGAGCCAATTGCATGCCACGGGACTGCCATTATATATTCCTGCCTAGGACTTGCTGTGAGTTTGCCATCAGTTTTAGAAAAACAGGTATTATGCTCATGCATCGTGCAATAAATGCTTGAGAACCTCTGTAAAAATCAAGTACAGCATTAGTGTAATGCTATAACAAGACTTGCTTCTAGGAAATACATTTGTGATATTTTGTTCTACAATGTGATAAATGTCATTTGTAGTCCATATGGAATCACTTTAAAAATCACTTAGCTCTAATATCCATGAGTGTTCATCCTTTTGGTTGTGTTTTAGGGAGAATTACATAATGTCATTAGAATGGAAAATGTATGCTCTATTATCTTTTTACTTTTTAAACACTCATAAAAAAGGCCTTACATGATTTGGGTTCAAAACTACTATACCGTGCAACTTCCAGCTTATCAGGATAGTGATAGTTTAGAAATACCCTGCTCTGTGCCTTTTGTTATGGGAAAAAGTCGTATTTCATGCATTTTAGCTCCCTTCAAAGGAACTTTGAAAGAGTTTGAATTTTAAAACTGGAATGTATCATAGAAAAGTAAGCATTCTTTCTTCTAGACAGATAAATAATGTAATATTTTATTAATGTCTTATTTATTCAGAAACTCTTTTAGTTAGCTTTAAAGGGGAGGGTGAGTTTCACTTTATTAGAAATCAAAATGGTCTCACTGCTGTCAATGTAAACTTTTCATTGACAAAAAATTATTGAAAATTCGTACAAAAAAATAAGAATTATGAAAAGTGGAAACGCATGTTGGTAGACATTTTCCTAATTATAGTATTTTAATATTAAGTTTGTGAAATGAACATAAAATTCTAATAGAACATAATGAAAAATGGAATGCTTTGATATCTTAAACTAGTGCAGATGGCTTTTGTGAAACAAGGGCCATGTGTAATCAGTATCATCGTTTCATGATTTGCTGTGCTATTTCATAAAAATGACATTCATAATTAACAAAGCGATCTCAAGAATTTTATAATCTTTGACTTTACTCTGGTAATGAGTTAAAATCAAAACAGCTTCAGTGAAAAATTATGAATGATTCAACAATCGCTTATTAAATTATGAGTTTGTTAATATTCTTCAAAGAAACTGTCATTAGTTAGAAGAAAGTAATTTATTTCATAGTTTTATACCGTTGAAGGAGAGCAGCAATTTAAAAGTGATGAACCTCATTTGCTATTGTATGATATTAGAGCAAATTACATTAGATAAAGTAGAGACCAGCCCTTGAACTATATCTTCCCTTCTTTGTGCCAAAATAAAATGATTCCCATGTATTGCTCAGTACTTGTTGTTGTATACTGTTCTCTGTAAATGTATTTGTTTGTTGTATGTGTAAATATATGTGATCATTAAACAGAATTTAAGACTTATTACTGTTTACAACCAAGCAGCTTTTCCTCTAACCCCTGTATGTTACCGTATTTGTTCAGTGCTAGCCCATTTCTTGAAAAAGAAGAGTAACTCAGTAACTTAATCACTGACTTCCCTGTGGTAATGTTAGTTGATTGAGGAAAGAAAATTAACATTACATTGCTAAGGAACAACTGTATGAAGATAAAGCAGCAGATAAGAGTTGCAGCTGAAGGTGAGAATTTGAGTGTACACAAACTTCTTCAATCGTCTTGTAATATTGATACAAAATGTTTCTAATCTGTACCATCATTTCTCTTTCATTAGTAAGATTACTGTAGGGAGGCATTCAAAAATACATTTGTACTGCTTTGTAAATGTTACTGCTTTCAACCCCATCTCCATCTTGGCAACAATGTATGAAAATGTTTTCCATATTGTTTCCTTCTAGGTGTATGCATTTGGTCCAGTGTGTTTCAAATTTTTTCATCCCATTGGAGGTAAAAGTTCTGTCAAACTTTGCAAAATACAAGGTTACAGCAACAATCACTCACTCATTTGATAAAAAGTTTGCCCAACAATTGTTTTTTGTTTGTTTGTTTTTAATTTTTTTTTTGTAAGTAATTTGTTTCATCGTTGTTGAAGCAACGCGTCTCTTGAATGGATACAGTTTTTTTGGTTTTTTGTTTTGTGATTTGTTGCGTCGTTGAACTCTTATTGGGCGTTCAGCGCTTTCAAAGAGTAATCCTCCGTCACTATCTTCATCAAGTCTCGTTACGTCGCAGTCAGTGCCTTTTATCCCTTTCGATCCCTTCGACCAGGGAGCTCGCAAGGGTTTCATTGCGATGCTGCAAGGCAAAAATGCGATTTTTCAACAAAAATCTTATTGCCAGCACTGGTGGATCCAGGGGGGACATGCCCTCCTAAAAAAAACTGTAATTTTTGTTAACCTTCCCTTATTAAGAAAAACGATTTAAATATTTATTTATGTTCGAATTATGTAATTATTTATGCAATAATGTTGTATTATATCGTATCTACAGTACATAAATAATATACATTATAATAACAAATATGTTTATTATTTTTTTTAAATATACGATGCCCCACCTCCATGATTGGCTGTATCCACCTCTAATTGCTGGGCGATAATGAAGAACCAAATTATTCTTGTACCTACAAGCAGGAGCGGATCCAGTCGATCATTCGGGGGAAGATGCATCATAGATTTTTGGTAAATAATAAAAATATTTGTTATTATATTGTATTGTATTTTATTTTTGTTGTGTATATAGCCGTGGATTTTTAAGGGAGAAAAAATCCTTTGTACGCCTTCCTTCAAAGGGGCTCTAAGCTAAATTAAAATCGCCTGTTTCGTCGCCCAAGAAATGCCTCCTTTCTTCGTTTCTTCGCTAGTTGGTGAAAGGATTGCAACGAAATTTGCGTGGTCAGACGAAAGAGCGGGCCTGATGGCCCGAGTCTCGCCACGTAAAATAAGGCATCAATTCAATTCAATATATGACTAATACAATATTATTTTTTAAATAATTACATAATTGTAATGTAAATAAATATTTAAATCAATTTTGCAAAATATATATAGCCATCAAAAGTCCCTCCCTCCCCTGCTGACTCATAAGGGAGGACTATGAAAGAAATCGAATGATGCTAACATTAAAATGGGTTCTACTGAAATTCATATTTATTATTTCAGATTTTTAACAAGTGCATTCATTAAACACTAACTAAATACATTGTTTTTTAGCATTTTATGCCCACAGTGGAAATTATATTATTTGATCACTAAATACTTTTATTTAAAAGTATTATTTAAAATATCTATATTTCTAAAACATATTTTTTTTATTATTTGTTGAAATAAAATAACTTAAAATTTTTTGATACAACTTTCATACACTTTTCATTTTCATTCACTTTCATTTTTGTTTGGGGCAGGGCTGCATTTCAGCATTGCTCCAGGTCCAAAATTCTCTAGCTCTGGCACTGTCTAACATTAGTTTTAACTTAAAACAAGATACTTTTTCAATTAATTTGATGACATATTTATAGATTGATTTTATTGTGTTATTGAACAAAAGAAAACAACCTTTCTATGATGTGTGAATTTAATGAGAAGAAAACTAACTAGAAAATAATCATCATCCTCAAAGTCAAAAGAGCCTTGCTGCTTCTACCATGACATTCTGTCCTCCACAGTCCTTTCATATCTGCATAGTTTTTGAATTGTAATTGGATTGAAGTTGTTTCAAAATTTTTATTTTAGATCTCCCTCTTCCTCTTTTTCCAACTATTTTACATTCCAAAATTGTATTTAAGAATTCATTATGCCTAAAAATGTGTCCAAAGAATTTTGCTTTTCTGTTCCAAATGGTTTTTAATCGGGATCTCTTCTCTTTCACTTTTTCTAAAATTACATTTGAAATTTTTTCAGTCCAGGAAACTTTCAGTATTTTTGCCACAACCAATCTCACAGGCTTCTAAATGACTCCTGTCCATTTTTTAAGCATCCATCCTTCACATTTGGCCCCTTCTCCATTTCTGATCTTTGCTTTGGTCTCCTGGTTATTGATGGTTACTCTTGCGTATTAATTTTTATAGAAATGTAGGAAAATTCTTTTGTCCTTCCAGTCTAGATGTATGCCTTTCATGATCTGCAATAGTATTTTTCAGGGAACATTTTCGAAAGCTTTCTCCAAGTGTATGAATGCAATATATGTGTCCCTGTTCATATCCATTCTTCTGTCTCTAAGATGCTCCTCAGTGCAATAATAGCTTCTCTCATACCTCTTCCTGACCTAAATCTGAATTGACCTTCATCCAAATTTTGTTCAATTTTACCTCTTATTTGGTTTTTGATTATTGTGATGAGAATTTTGGCAGCATGGGATATTAGAGAAATTGTTCTATAATTTTTACATGAAGTTGTGTTCCCTTTTTTATATGTGGTAATGATTTTCCTTTCTACAAATTCTTCAGGTATTTGACCAATCTTGTACCTCATCCATATTAGTTTAAACATATCTTTCAGTGTTTCCACTAAATTAGATTACTTTTCATGACAAAATTTAAATATTGTAATCTACTAATGTCTTTTTCTCTCAAGGGTGGATCTAGAGATTGTCTGGGGGAGAGACACACAGTTATGGAAGTACTAAAGAAAAACAGCAGACTTCATTGAGAAAAAAAAATTCAATCACAAAGAATGTGAAGGACATAAAATAGCACAGAATATTATTTAGGAGAGTAAAAAAGAAACACATGAGGATATAATACTGAAACAGTATTCTAATGACAAGACTGACAAGAAGTGACTGCAAACATTATTTGCACAGCATATAAAGTAGTCAGGGAAAATCAGTCCTTTAACAATTTCAAAACTGAAATTGATTTGCAGGAAATAAACAGACTAGACATGGAATGCATTTATCATTTGATTAATCTTGTGCTAATATTGTGGAGCACATTAGTTGCGAAATGCAAAAAACAATAGTAAATAAAATAGTCCATTCAGATGCTAAATGGATTAATTTATTGATGAATCGGCTGTGTTAGGTAAAAAATCCAATCTAATGTTGTGTACATACCATTCTGTATATGAGAAGAGACTAGAGATACTCCACTTACTTTAATGTTAGACCTGGCTGCGCTAAAGAGTGTAACTGTAAAAGGTATGTTTGATTTTGTAATAAAATATTGTCAGTGATAAACTCATTTTTGGAAAATAATCTAATAAGTTTAAGATGTGATGGTGCAGCAGTAATGATTGAATGATTGGGAAAAAGAATGGTGTTGGAATAGTTTAAAGAAATAGTCCCTTCTCTAATTGTTTGGCATTGTGCGAAACACAGTCTTGAACTTTCAGTTTTCGATGGCAATTTCTAGAATTAACAGGTTTAAAACTTTTATTGATTAATTATATGTTTTATACCAAGCTTCAACCCAACACAGAAGAGAATTAAACATATGTGCAAATTTGATGGAAACAGAACCATTAAAAATTGGAAGAATATTGGGTGTGTGAGTGGATGCTTCCAGGTTCAGATTTCTTTTGTCATGTGGAAAAGATATGAAGCATTAGTGTGCCATTTCAAAGAAGCAAACATTGATCCAACAAGAGACAATAATGAAAAGAGCATTATTAGTGGCTTTTGGAATACAATTAGTGATATCAACAGTATTTTGGATCTTGAATTGATGTGTGATGCATGACAGGAATTATTTGAGTTGAGTGAGGCTTTACAGCATTGAAATATGATCTATACTGTGGCAATGAAAATAACAGTATCACTTTTAGAGTGTAGAAAATTAGCTCCAGGTAATCCAAGAAAAATGGAAAATTTTACATTTTTTGGAGTACTTCTTCACAAAAATGAAGGATACATTAATAATTATCTTGTGAACCCTATCAAATTTTAAGAAGAATTTAAAACAAGCAATTGAAACAAGACTACTTGGTTTAACATGATCAAGAACTTGTCACTTTAGCAAAAGTGATAGAAATGAAACACTGGCCCAACAATGTGCAATTGAATTATGGAGAAAATGAAATGAAAAAGATTGCTACCAGATATGTACTGAATGAGAGACAATTAAATATAGACTTTTGAGAATATTTACAATTGAAATCAGAAGCAATTTTGTCCAACAAATGTGAGGGGATTCTTGCAAATGAATTTCATTCTAACTGCATTTACCACTTCTTTAAAAATGGAAACCATATGCAGTTTATTTTATTTTATTTTTTTGTTCATGGCCCTCCTCTTTGTTTATTTGATTCTTGTAAATATGTAGATTCCTGGCTCTAGTCTGGATGTCATTGTCATTTGGCTTTAGATACTAAAAGCAAGGAAAGATTTAGAAAGAATCAATATGACAAAAAGTTGTTGGAATTGTGGAATCTTTTATTAAATGTTCATTATTATTTTCTCGGTACATAATGTATTATATGTAAATTTAGTAAAATTAAATAAAACCAATCGTCACAAATAGAATGTATGATTAAAATATAAGTACCTTAATCACATCTCAATATATACGAAATAAAATTGATATATTTTCAAAAAAGATTATCATTATCCCAAGAAATGATTATTCACATTATACATTTATTTAAAATATATATTATTTTAAAGTTTATTTATAATTGTTAATCAATAAATTAATAAACAAAAAAAACAAATACATATTAAATTCATCAATTTGTCACACTTTCCAGTACCTAATATTTTTGAAATCAAGCACTGACAAGCCCAGTAAATTAATTAACATAATTCGGATAATCTTCTTTATTCCCACCTTCTTCTACTTCGTCAGTGAGGTTTAAGAGAATTTTTCTTTAAAAGAAGAATAGGCGTTGTGAAGTTTAAACGCTTATGCTCGCATGCTCTCATTTGATATTTGAATCTTGCGCCACACATGCTCTTTACTATCGGAGAACTAATTGTATTTCTCCTTGATGAGATTCCTCCGAGGCGAACACCGAATATTGTCGATTATGATCGAATGAAAAAGATTCCTTGCAAGTTCTTTGGTCGCCCTCGTCCTGTGCTCGTCTTTCGGTGTCGTGTAGAAATTCATCGAAAATGGCGTTCGGCGATTATCCAGCTGAATATAATCCAAAAGTTCACGGCCCGTACGACCCGGCACGTTACTATGGAAAACGTACGTAATGAATGTCTTTTAGATAAATTTATTAAAGAGGTTAAAATGCATTTATGTTATTTTTTGTGTACCTTTCCATAATCTTTTCCAGTCCCCTGGGTCTTCTGCCGAAGTTGAAGGGTTTTTTGTAATTGTGTCATTTCAGTATGTAATCTCGCAAATATTTGGATGATCTAAGCATGTAGAATTAATTGTGTTTACTCGTCTGTTAGTGCTGATAAATCATTTCTTAAATAGTTACGTAACATGTTAATGTATATCCCCACAAGTTTACCAGATTTCAATATATTTCAGCTGATACTCCACTAAGCCAGGTTAAATTGGGGGAGTTGAGTAGCTGGATTGCAAGGCGTAACAAGAGTCCCCAAGCTATTGCCCAGGCAACTAGCAGGGGTAAGTATGTAACATTACGTCGAACTCGTATTTTAATAAAAAAAAAATTTTTGAAATTTTACCATAGTCTGTGATACACATTTTAAACTACTTAAAAATGAAAGGTAATATTTTTTTTTCTAGCATGGTGGAGATGGCAACATAAGTATGTCCATGCCAAGAGGGGTGGGATGGCTCCATACATTCAATTTCTTTTTGGTGCAATGACTTTCTTCTATGTCATTAACTATGGAAAGATCAGTAAGTAACAATAAAAGGAAAAACGATATCTTTATCTTCTTCACATATCATAACTTTCTTCTTGTTATTTACAGAGGCCCATCGTCTCTACAAACACCACTGGTGAAAAGGAGAAAAGAAACTGTGTTTAGTGATTATTGGCAATTATTATAAATCACATGTGTATGTAGTATGCTGTTCTGTATGTGAACATTAAAGTTTAACTTCGAAAATCTTTTTTTCTTGGTAGTTTGTTATAAGGATTGTGTTCATTTCCATTTTGTTAAATATTAGTAGTAATCATGTATATTAAAATTTTGAATTGTTACACATTTTCTGTTGAGCACTTCTTGGGTTGTGTAGTTTACAGGAATAAGAGCAATTAGATTTACAAAGAAAGAAGATTTTGATGTTCCAAAACTGTAAAGATGTGATCGGGCAAAGTTCTGTCCAGCCATCGCTGATATCCGAGGGGAAATAAATATTTAAACTGATTTATCAGTTAGTATAATGTATTCAATACATAATTTAAATGTGTAATTTTTTTTAACATACATGATTATGTATATTGCTATGTAAACTACACTAGTCAAATATGATGTATGTGGAAGGAGTACAATTGCGCATATCTTCTTGAGTGCAGAAAGTTAAGTTATTCAAAAGGAAAACGGGGCACCTTAGCATTTGCTCAAAGGCCGGCAAAAAACCTGATCGAGATGGGGTCATTGGCCTAGGAATTATATTACTTTACTTGTTGCAGATACATAAAGATGTACAGTTGATAATTATTTTTAAAAGCAAAATTATTTAACATTTTAAGATTTGTTTTGTTTATTCTTCAAAATAAAATTTGCTTACTATATTCATTTTACTTCTACTACTTAGGGGCAATCCATAAACTATGTAATGCAAACTAGGTGAATTTTGAATACCCACTCTCCCACTTGTAACACATCTAAAACGTGTCATTACACTCCCCTTATAAAATTATGTAACACTTTAAACCACCTCCCCCCTCATAAATACAAGTGAAAAGTTATAGCACAGTAAAACAATTGTCTTCATTTTATTTATGGTGTATTATAAATTTATGATAAATTAAGTTGGAATTAGTTGTTGATGCTGACTGCACATAAGATAGGGAGCATATTTTGAATGAAGGAAGGATGCACAAGTGAGATAATTTCTGATCATAAGCTGTGCTCGTGCTGCCATTTTTGATGGTGCATGGATGAGAATCTACTGTGCCAATTTAATTGTATTCTACAAAACACTACTGGTCAGTTTCGAATATTTTCTTTGCAATCTTACAGATTCAATATAAAGTTGATGAAAAAATATTTCCAGTTTTTTGAACAACTTCTAGTAACTTTTAAGTTTTTGATGTTTTAAAACAAATTAATTAGATAATGTTTTAAAGAAATACTCATAAAAGAAAGTATTTCAACAAATATTTAAAAACATCAATGTTATGTAACACTAATTGAATACCCCCTGCCCCTATGTAACACAGCGTAATGCTGCCTCAAACACCCTCTCCCCCCTCTTTAGTGTTACGGAATTTATGGACGACTGCTTATAGTAATAGCTATAACAATAACAGTGCATGATATCAATTATAGAAACAACTATATGTTTTTACAATATTAATTCAATGTTCAAATTTTGAAGTGATGAGGTTTTGGCCAGGTGTTGTAATTCTATACTTAGTCCTACTGCAATACCTGAATTCAGATTACAAGTAGTGGAGGTATTCCTGAAAACTATAAAAAGATTTTTCCCAAGGACGTGTTAGAGTTTATCCTTGAACTTGTGTAATCCTGTTATGTCTCTCAGATGTATTGGTAATTTGTTGAATTTTATTCCTGTAGAGAATTTCCCCTTTTGGTGCAATGTGCTTGTGGACATTGGTTGGTGAAGGTTATATATTTGGATTGTATGAGTGTAAGTTTGAGGTAAATTTGGAAGGTGTGTCAGTGTTAGGTTTTTCTTTTTAAAGATGTGGACTTCATAAATCAATATACAAGGCAGAGAAAGCATATGAAGCTTTTTGAACTGAGGTCTACAGGACTTTTTTATCCAGATGATTCTCTCTCTCTCTCTTTTTTAATTTGAGAATAGAATGAACATTTGCAAAGTAGGCTGTTTGAATGGTTTGTTCCTCGTAATTGGGATTACTCAATTTTGAATTAATATCTTGTACATGCGAGTTGAGATTGGATTGTATGGTGATTCCAAGGAATTTGTTTTTCTGTGTTGTGTAATGCCGTTGCCTTCTAATGTCAAATTTGGTGAGTATTGTGTTGAGTGAGAGTTGTGGAAGGGCAATATGATTCTCTGTTTAAGATGTTTGTTTTGGTGGATCCAATGAAATAGTTTGCCAATGGTTGCGTTCACTTTGTCTTGTAAAGCTTTGGTTATTTTTTCTTTGAATGTTATATTAGGGTCATCAGTGGAAAGTACTGTTTTGATGTTTTCCAAAAATTGATGGTAGGTCATTTACAAATAAGAAATAGAATTGGGCCTAGCATGGATCCTTGCGGTATCCTATAGATCATACCTTTAAGTTCGTTTTTTATTTTGTTGTCTTTCTGGTATGGTAACTGCATTTTTTGTTTTCGGTCTTTTAGATATGATTTTATCCACTTGTAAGCAGTACCTTGAAATCCATAAGATTGTAATTTTGACAATAGAATTCCGTGATCTATTGTATCAAGGTTAAGGAAGAGACCAACAGGTATTTGTTTTTGCTATCATGGTGTGAGAATTCCATTTACAAAGGTGAATAAAGCTGTTTCAGGTGATTGATTTTCCCTGAATCCATGTTGAGTTAGTAATAATGTTACAGTGTATCAGGTAGCCTTTTAACCTTTCAAAGAGTTTTTCTAATGTTTTTGAAAATCTTTATAAGTTTGATATTGGCTTATAACTCATTACATCTTGTTTCTTACCTTCTTGTGTGGATAGTTTTAACCACTGCAGTTTAAAATATGTTTGGGAATTAGTCATAAGTTTGTGAATGGTAGTATAAATATGCAAGTGATTTAATGATGTTTCGAGCAACCCTTTTTATAGTGAAATCTTGGATGTTGTCTATTCCCGGAGATTGTTTGTTTTCCATTTTGTTTATAATTTGGAGTATTTCTGTTTCTCTTGTTTCTGTGAAGTATACACCAGAAAGCAAGCTTTTAATGAGAGGCTGTGGTTATTTAGGTGTAGGGTTTGGATTACTTGTTTGCAGAAGTCTGCCAGTTATTTCAGAGAAATGTTTGTTGAATATACTGGCTTTTTCATTTGAATCTGCTATTCTTCTATTTTTATGGGCTATTTCAGTCTTTGGCATTGTTTTGTCAGTTGCTGATAAGGTCTTTTATATTCTCTTCTAGGCTCTTGTTGTCATTTTGTGAATTAAATTTTTCTCACTTGAGTATAAACCTTTTTTACTCAAAATAATGTAATAATTGTTCTGAGAGTTGCCTTTCACTGGATAACTTATTAAATTTAAATGAAAACTATGTTTTGTAAAAGGTTAGATAATTGAATGCTTGTCAGACTTCGCCCGGTGATCTCATTAATAATTTCCCAATCACATATTGTAATAAGATGTCTTGTGTTACGTATCGAAACATTCTCAATATATGTGTGTATTATTAACACAATCTGCCCACATTATGCAAGCCAATTTGAAATGTTATTATATTCAGGTTTGACAATATTTTGAACTTTTTAATTTTTAAAACTATTTATATTATTAAAACATTTTAAATTTTTATTACAATTTTAATGAATGTTGGACTTTGCTTATGTATGTTTAAGTAATACTTATTTGGGTCGATGTCCCATCTAGGACAGACAGGAACAGACTTTATCTTTGTAACTGTAGTTGTACGAAGCTGCTGAAAAAAATTTGAATTTTTGCAATTTTCAATAATCAGAATTTTTAATGAACGTGAGATCTGCACCATTGTCTTAAGTATCCCATGCACTAGTCAAGGACAAAATTTAAACAAAATTGTTGGTTTCCTTTTTTCCTATTTCATGCAAAATTACTTGTAAAATACTAAAAAAAACTTCGAAAAATTTTGCATGACCTTATTTCAAAATCTATATTCATGGAACAGATTTTATTAAGGGAAAAAATCTTTATCTTTAATATCCTAGTTACGGGAAGACTCCGAAAACATTTTGAACTTTTGCATTTTTCGAAAAATCAGGGTTATTAACAAACATGAGACCTGCGCCTTTCCCTTAAACGTCCTTCACGGAATCCAACAGCAAAAAATTAATTAAAAATGGAGCAATTTTTTGAAAATGTCTCAGAGGCTTCATGTAAAGTACCCCCAAAATTAAAATATCGGTTTCAAATTCAAAGAGCCGTGACATCGGCCAGATCGAATATGTTTAGTTTTTCAAATATTGGTAATCTCACGCTTTTTTAAATTTTATTTATTTATCTTTAACTTCTACTCATCCTTCAACTAGTTATAGTTGGGATTTATGATTAGGGTTGCCACCTTGCCAATTCCAGAAAACCGGAGACCGGGGGGGGGGGAATTACTGAATCTAAAAGAAATTGACGCAGACTTTTATTTATTTCTATATAATATATTTACATATCTTTGTTTCTAGTGATCTATAATAATTAAATATTTATTCAAAATATGTTTACACTTTGCTAACATTCTACTTTTTCCAGCTATACTTTTCGTTGCTCATAGCTATTTTTAGCAGAGATATTTGCTCAGGTTTTTTAAGAAAATCAATGAATTGATCACAAGTCAAGTCGTAGTTTCAATTTTACAAATAACTCAGATTTTACGACGCTTAGATTTAATTTGTTTCGATTATCGGTCCAAACATTAAACATTATCCGAAAAAATCCTCTCAACAGGAGCGTTGCTTACTGGGATAGATAAAAATGAAGAAGGAAAGAAGAGATTTCTGATGAAATAGAAAAAACTTTAAATTTTAAGTTGAAAAATCTATTTATTTTGTAAAAAAAAATTGAAAAAAAAAGAGAG